AAAGCCAGCCCTGGTGATTCAGCCACTCTCGCTGGAGTTTTGTCTTCCTCTCGTCACAGAATATGGCCACCTGGATCACTAGCCGTGGGAAGGTCTGGGGAAGGGAAACGAGACAGAGTTCAAAGCCTCTGAAGTGGGAACTTGACCGGCTTGAGGAAGAGGCAAGACCCGCGTGGCGGAGCACTGTGAGAGTGGAGGTGACCCGCGTGGCTGGAGCACTGTGAGAGTGGAGGAGACCCGTGTGGCTGGAGCACTGTGAGAGTGGAGGTGACCCGCGTGGCTGGAGCACTGTGAGAGTGGAGGTGACCCGCGTGGCGGAGCACTGTGAGAGTGGAGGAGACCCGCGTGGCTGGAGCACTGTGAGNACCCGCGTGGCTGGAGCACTGTGAGAGTGGAGGTGACCCGCGTGGCGGAGCACTGTGAGAGTGGAGGAGACCCGCGTGGCTGGAGCACTGTGAGAATGGAGCAGAGCAGGACGGAGGGCGCCGCAGAGCTTTGTGGCTGTGGAGAGCTAACAGGGCTTTGTCTTTTATTTTTATTTTGGAGGTGCTGGGAATTGAACACAGGGCCTTGTGCATGCAGACAAGCTCTCTACCACTGAGCTATGTCCCCGCCTGAGAGCTAACTGGTTTCTAAGTTCATGGGAGGCCAGTGAAGGGTTGGAGGAAAGTGACCTAGCCTGACTTGGGTTTCTTTCTTCAAAGACCCTAAAGACACTAGTTCCAGGTTCATTGGATTAGACAAAGGGGAATGAAGGGAAGGGAGGGAGGATGGGAATAGGAGAGACAGTAGAAAGATCGGGACCTAACTTTTCTCTCTGATTTCATATATGTTTATATTTCATATATGTTTATATATGAATACACCACTAGTGAAACTCCATATCAGGTACAACCACAAAAATGGTATCCTGGGCTGGGGCTGTAGCTCAGTGACAGAGCGCTCGCCTAGCATGCATGAGGCCCTGGGTTTGATCCCCAGCACCACATTAAAAAATACTAAATAAAGATGTTGTGTCCATTTACTACTAAAAAAAAAAAAAAAAAGTTAAGAAAAAAAGAATGGTATCCTAATTAGAATAAGTTATACTACATGTATGTATAATATGTCAAAATACACACTATTGTCATGTATATCTAAAAAGAACAACAAAAAATAAAAATAAATAAGAACACTAGCACCCAGGAGTAGTGAGTGGCCCACGCCTGTCATCCCAGCAGCTCAGGAGGCTGAGGCAGGAGGATTGCAAATTCAAAGCCAGCCTCAGCAACTTAGTGAGGCTCTAAGCAACTTGGCAAGACTCTGTCTCAAAATAAAAAAGAGTAGAGATGTGTCCCTGTGGTTAAGTACCCCTGAGTTTAATCACTAGTACTCCCCCTACCCACCCCCAAAAAAGGAAAAAAAACCTCTAGCTATAACAGAATGAGTTGGGGAGTGCAGTGGGGCACATCCTGCTTTGAGGCTAACCACTCCTGACCACCTTCTTCTCTCTTCCCTGGTCTCTGTTGAACTTAGAGTGAGCCACTTAACTCTGGTCTGGCCCCAGAGACACTGGTGGGGAGGACTTACTTTCAAGAGAGTTGGTCTGGCTTTGTCCCCTTCTCCTGTCTGCAATGTAGAAGTGACTCCTGGGAATCAGAGGCCTTACTGCAACCAAAAGGTGGAAGCGATGACTGGCAGAGTCAAAGAGAACAGGCCTACTCTTGGTGACATTTCTAAACTTTGACCCTGCCTGCTGCCAGATTTCTCATTAGGTGAGCAAATTAAGTCCCTGTTTGCTTAAGGCACAGTAAACTGGTTTTCTGTTACTTGCAGCTTAATACATTCTCAACTGCTGTAGTGGACAGGAGAGTCGGGAGGGGGTAAGAAGTGCTGAAGGGGTGTGGGTGAGACAACAGTGACAGACTGTTGAGACTGTCTCCCCCTCGGCTTTCCATTTCTGTCTTCACTTCCTCTTCCACATGACCACACTTCCTAAATGCACGTCCCCTCCTGAGTTCCTCGGGACTTGGAATTCTTGGCTGGGTTAACGGTCATGTGTTTTCTCTCCGATGTGGGAGCTAGAGAGGAAAAAGGAAAAGAAGGGTCGGGGGAGAGATCTCATGAAACCAAAGGGACATCAGTAGAGATCTGGGGACTGGGGTGGCAAGTAGCGAGTGACATGGGCCAAATTACTACATCATGTGCAGAGAGGGATGTGTAACAGATTCCATTATTAAATACAACTATAATGCACCAATAAAAACTGTGGGGAAAGTTATTGGCTGGCTCTCCATTTCCTACAAGATAAAAATGTAACCTCCTTAGCTTAGCACACAGTACCCTCCGTGACTCGCTCACCTCATCTGCCATCTCCTCTCACTACTCCCACCCTTGTGATTTACACACCTCCCACGTGACAGGCGATGTATCCATTCATGTCTAATCCAAGCAACCTAAGAGGTGGGTATTGCAAGTCTTATTTACAGATGAGAACCCCAATTAAGTGTTGGCCAAGGCCACACCTCTAGCAGGTGGGGGTCAGGATGTAAACTCTGGTCTGATTTCAAAACAGAATTAAAATTCACCATTCTTACCAAGAAGTCTGAAGGTAGGGATGGCTCTGCTGTTCAGGTACTCAAAGGAGGACTGGATTTCTTTTTTTTTTTTTTTTTTTTAGGTGTAGATGGACACAACGCATGCCTTTAATTTTACGTGGTGCTGAGGATCAAACCCTGGTCCCGCCCGTGCTAGGCGAGCACTCCACCACTGAGCCGCAATCCTGGTACGTCCCCCCCCCCCCCCCCCCCCACACACACACTGGATTTCACCGTCACACTTGTCACTTCCTGGTCTTGAGATGGCTGCTCAGTTCTAGACATCACATTCAGGTCCAGATCAAAAAGGAGAGCTACACCAGCTCAATCAGTTGTACTCACTCCCCCTTTTTTAAGAAACCTAAGGCTTTCCTAAACTCCCCCACCCGCAGTGCCCTTCTACCTGTATTCATGGGCACAGGGGAGCCGCTAGCTGCAAGGGAGGCTGGGAAGTCAGAATGTCAGAGTTACGTTTGGCCCAGATCCAATATGACCCTCCACTTGAGGTTGACAGATCTGGAGTTCTGTTAGCAAGGAAGAATAGGGCAGTGAGGGTAACCAGGCCACAAACAGGGTCTGTTCCCACCTCCTACCTAGAAGAATGAGAGCCGCTGAGGGGCTCCTTAGGTCTGCCGGGAAAACCTTTCTTGCACATCACATCTAGGTGTCTACAAGACTCCCTCACTCCCCCACCCAAACCTGACGCTCACTCCTTTGCTCTCTTCTGTATCATTACCGGCTTCTCTCTATAAACTGCCATTACAGCAGTTAGTGCATTGTAAGGTGACCGCTCATTCCTTATGCATGCATTCCTTCTCTCCATAAATGCTGAGCCAGACCCTACTAGGAACCAGGAATGCAGCAGACAACAAGTTAAATCTTTAGGTTTGGTTCTTGCCCTCATAAAGTTTTTAGTCTGATAAGTCATGGGAGGAAGAGACTCCTCTCCTCGGAGCATAAACAACAACTATATGGCAGGACAGTCATCTCCAGGACCTAGCAAGAGCATCTGACACCAAGTAGAAGCACTATGTCCATGTGTTAAATTCATTCTTTCCTCAGGAAGGCTTTGAATCCATCCATCCATCCTTCCTTCCTCCCTTCCTTCCTTTTAACCCAGGGGCACTGTACCACATATTTTTGATATGATCTTGCTAAATTGACCAGACTGTCCTTGAACTTGTGATCCTCCTACCTCAGCCTCCCAAGTAGTTGGATTATGGGCCTGTCCCACCATGCCTGGCTGAAATGTATTTTATTTTTAAAAAATATTTTTTAGTTGTAGTTGGACACAATACATATTTTTATGTGGTGTTGAGGATTGAGCCCAGGCCCTCACACATGCCAGGAGAACACTCCATCGCTGAGTCACAACCCCAGCCCAGAAATGTATTTTAAACGTAAACATTTTAAGAGAAATGTAGTCCTTGTTTCTAACAGGAAACCCCCAAAGAATGATCCATCTACCCCCAGTGTTCCCTCCCCACCACTGCAGGTCTCTTCTCCCAGGAAAGGGTCCCAGAGCACTCACATGCCCTTCACACCAGAAACCCTGGTGGGTGTAGGTTTTGCTCAAGGCTTTGTTGGGTTTTCTGAACAAGGACATCTCATTGTCGGTGCGAGAGCTGCTTGGGTGTGCTCCTTGGCTCCGCAGGCCCCCATCCCACAGTTATTGTGTGAAGTTTTAATAGTCCCCCAAACACCCTGTTCTGCCCCTTGTCTTCCTCAGGTGATGGCAGTTGGGAACAAGGCAGGCAGAGGCAAGGGAAATAAAAATAACCACCACTGCTTTGGTCTGTGCTTCTGTTGCCATAGTGATGTTGACAGGTGACACACAGGTGAGTGGTTCTTCCTACCATGGAGCCAATGGACAGTGGAGGCCAGAGAGGGATGACATAAACGTAAAAGACCCCATGCCTCCTAGCTTCGTGAGCCTCTGGGACTTCATGGGACCATGTGGTCCATTCCCTGCCTCTTAGCCAAAAATCAAATGGATGGACGTTATTCCTGAAGACCCTCAAGAACAAAGTCCACCACATCCTAAGGCACCTGTTAGGATGTGGTGGACTCTCATATTTCACAAGATTCATGACCTTGAGTGGGTTTAATGTCTGATCATTTTCTCTCCATGTCCTTCCAGCCCAATTCCTCCTCCACCGAAGACACTCAAATCTGGACTCACTTGTTCCTGTCCCACCGCAGCCAGCTGGGTCCTCTCAGGGTCCCCAGCCCTGTCCTCTGCTCTGGAGTGGGAATGTCCCCTGCCATAGCAAGAAGCCCCTGGCCACCAGAAACAGGCACAGACACAGACCTGCTGCCTAACAGCTCAGAGTGGGGCAGGGCAGCCCTCCCAACCGGAGGTTGTCCTCCTTCCCAGTGAAACCAAGCAGAGAGAACAGGAAGGGCTGGTTTTAATGAGGATCTTTAAAAGCCTTTGCGACAGCAGAGAGCGCCCAAGGCAGCTGGGAGACCCGCACTGATGGCAACAGGGCTCTTGTAATTCCAGCGGACCCTGCAAAACAGAAGTGGCTCTGCTAGGTTAGGAGTGTGGCCTTTCCCCCCTCACATTAAAACAAAGAAACAAACCAAAAAGCAGCTTTTAAAATTGTCTCAGGAATTATCTTGCTTAAAAACTGTGTAGGCCTTGTGGGTGGGGCTAGGGGAGAATGGAGAACTATGGATTAGACCAGGGGAGTGGGGGGGACGGGTGGGAATGACAGTAGAGCCAATCGGACATTCCTAGCCAGTGTGACGACCGTCCCGAGGCCCGTGTAACCTCCGTGTGTACAGCCAGAAGATTAGAAGTTACACTCCACTGGTGCGTCAAAGGCAAGCGCTCCCAGTAAGACTAGTTAGAACAACAACCAACACCACGTTGGCCTTAGTGGCCCAGCCCGGGTTAGAGAGGTGGAAAGCAGCCGATCCCAGGAGCACTGCTTCTGTTCACCGCAGGAGCAGGAGCACGACTGGGTGCCGACATCCCGCCCCATCTCCACCGCTCTCCACCCCTCCCTGCTCCGTTCTCTTGATCCACTTCACTCAGTAGGAAGAGCCCTGTCACTGACAGGTTGGACCAGCCTAGCCCTCTCTTCACTGTCCCTAATTCCCCAGAACAGTGTCAGGAAATGAGCCACTGGCACGGGACTTCTGGTTTCTCCACTTGATCTCTTCCACCCTGGACCAATAAGCCACTGCTTCTTCTCCAAGACTGAGGCCGCCTCGAGGGTGAGGCTGACACGCACCCCAAGGCTGCCTCCCTCTGGTGTCTCCCAGCAGCTGAGCATCGTGTGATTTTGCCAATTAAGCCGCTTTCTTGTCTTCAATTAGCTGCATGTGAATCTTGTTGGGAAGTCCTGGATCCGTGAAATAGTCTGGGATAAAAATCAAAAAGAAGAAATCCTCTCGACTCAGGAAAAAAGACTGGGAGACAGCTTCTCTGCTAAAAAGCTAGGGTGGCAGGGTCCTAGCCACTGCTGGTGGCCCACTTTCCCACATAATGGGTAGTCACAGCCAATCCCCATGGTCACCGCCCTCACCAGAGCAGCTGAGTGTGCAGGCTCAAATGGCCCTAAGGGGCTGGGGATTTAGCTCAGTGGCAGAGCAGGCGTCTAGCACGTGCAAGGCCCTGGGTTCAGTCCTCAGCCCAGGAATAAAAAAAAAAAAAAAAGGATCAAATGGCCCTGGGTAGGGCTGACACAGGGTGGCTCCTGCTCCTGCCACACCATGCTGTTTATCCTTTGCTGACGCACAAGGGGCCATCATCAAAGGGCTCGGGGATTCTCTGGGTTTTCTGCTCCCAGCCCATCTTGGGGCCCAAATACGTGCCAAGAAGTATTCTTGTCTCCACTCGGCTGGCCAGCTCCCGTCTCTGAAATGTACGCCTTCTCTGAGAGTACCCTCCCAGAGGAGAGCCAGGCTCTGCTGTCTGACGACAGAAGAGGGTTTTATACACCCGCAGAATGTGAGTCAGGCAGCATCTGCCGCGGCAGCAAAGCGGACTTAGATTCCCTTAGACACAGTTGGAGGACACAGCCAACTCCCAGGGTTAACTGCACCCAAAAACAGCCCTCTAGATACTGCTGACCTTAAGCCATCTCGCAGCCAAGTGCATGACCAGCACCTGGGGAGCCTTTGAAACTCTGGACCTGGGCCTACCCCAGGCTGATTACATCAAACTCTCCAGGGTGGGGCCTGAGCATCGTGTTCTTTTAAAAGGCTCCCCAGGTGATTGTAATGCACAGCCAGGGTCAGAACTGCTTCAGAGTCTCAGGGCCAGGGCTGCCCGTAAGTTCCTCTGGGAATCTCGGAATTCCGAACAATCTCCACCAAGAGGAAGTTCTGCCTCATTTCTCATCTGGCCTCATTTTGAGGAGAGGACAGTAGAGTAGAAGCCTTCTGAAAACAGCTCCCTTGAGGGACCTCCGGTGAAGGAGGACCCCAGACTCTGCAGAGAGAATCCTGGGCCATCCGAGTCTAAACTCCCAGGCATATTCCTTGCACAGGCTTTAGGACAACGCCCCACCCCGCCCGGGGCCAACTGACCTGCCCTACTCACCTGCCGCAAACTCTAGGATGTTGTCTGGTCTTTTCAGAAACATTTCTCTGGAAAACATTAAGGGACAGGGAAGGAGATAGCACAGGTTTAAGAAGGCTGTGGCCGGCTTCCACCCCAGGCTCTCTCATGGCAGATTGTCACACCCATTCCAGAAGTCAGAGAGCCTGGGGACCAAAGACAAGGACCTTTCCATTTGTGATTTTCCTTCAGCTTGGATCTGGGCAAGGAGTGAAACATCCGGAGTGGGAACACGGGCTCCTGCCCAGTTCACAGAAGAGCTGTACTGCTGTATACATCTGGTCATCCATTCCACAGACATTTTCACAAAACCAGGACCAAGCCAGGGACCGAGTGTCTGCAGGTTCCTCAAGGGACACCCGTGTGACGGGACAGACATGCAGACCCACAGTGTCCCGAGGAAGTCTAACTATGAATTTCCATGGGGGAGCAGGAAGGTATACAGCAAGTCCAGCTGTATACCTATATTCCCAGTGGGAGCACTGGAATATAGAGGCCCTGGGTTCGATTTCCAGCATCACAACAAGCGAAACAAGGAGAATAGGTAAACAGCATATGGTACAGTCATACAATCACAGAAGAAAGAATGGAAGATCTACTAGATACTGAGCAAAGAAGGCAGGCACAAAGGAACACATACTACAGAATTCCATTTATGTCAGATTCCAAAAAGGCAAAACAAATCGGGGCTATCAGAAGTCAGCCAGCGGCCTGGGAGGCTGAAGCAGGAGGATTGAGAGTTCACACCCAGCCTCAGCAACTTAGTGAGGCCCTAAGCAACTAAGCAAGACCCTGTCTCAAAGTAAAAAATATAAAAAGGGGCTGGGGATGTGGCTCAGTGGTTAAGTGTCCCTGGGTTCAATCCCTCATACCAAAAAAAAAAAAAAATTACTGGTTATCATTTGAGGGGAGTTGTGGGAGACCAACCTTACATGTGACTGAGTCATACTCCCCGGCTGGGTGCTGAGGCACTCAGTGGCAGAAATGTGGCAGAGCTCTTTCCCCACCCTTCTTGGGTGGGAGGGTGGGTGTCTCCTGCATGGGTGTGTCTTGCTACAGCCCCATGGGTGGAGCTATGCTCACCTGTTCCTTTGTAATCTAACCCCTTGCCCTGCTTAGGATGGAATCTTCCATGGAAGTGCCTTGTGTGTGTCCCCTTCTCTTCCTGTGCCCTTGGGTGTGGCCTACCCAGGTGTCAGTCAACCTGCTGACAGTGGACATCATGAAGATAGACTCAGCCCCCTGAAACCTGACCCCTGGCCTCATTTGAATAGCTTCTCCTCAATAAAAGGGGTCAGCATGTGCTCTTGCTCTCTCTTCCTGCTGACCCTTAAGGTCAGAGGAGCCCTCACAGCAACCCCAAACAAAAAGGCATTTGTGTCTCTTGTGGGGTTATTTTGTGCAGCCCAGTTAGCCCAGTTCAACTGGAGGGACCCCTGAGCCAGCAGGGAGTGTCTAGAAGGGGCCACAAAAGGTCTTAGGTGCTGCTAACATTTAATCTATTCACCTGGACACTAGTAGCATGCGTGAGGACAAGTTCATCCAGCTTAGAATATGTCATTTCTCTATGTATTTTCATAAAATGTTTGGAAACAAAAAAGATAGAGTCACTGAAGATTTTTCCAACCAAGGAGTAATATGACCAGTACTACAATTTGGAAGTTTCATCTGCCTAGTTTTTACCAAAACATCTAATAAAGCTTTCTACAGTTTCACATATGACTATCATATCTCTGGCCCCAAACCTTTAGTTTCTGGGTGCCTAAAATAAATTTGACCTCTACTCTTTTCAGGTCCAAAATTGGAAGTATGAAGGTAAGGATTCTGTACAGCATATTTCTGTTATAGACTGGAGAGGTGTGGCTGAATGACCATCAATCACTAGATTCCAGAAAATTCAAGGGGCAAGTTCACAAAAATGGTTCTGAGCTTCTCTTGGCTTGGGGCAAGTAGAGAGCAGAGACCTGCAAGTTGGGCAGAGAAAGGCAAGCTGATCTCTCCACACCCTTCCTCTTCTCACAGGAAGGACCCTGTGAAATATTAGGTACAAAGACGGGGCTGATTCTGGCTCACCCTGCTATCACTCAAAGGAAATAATAGTAGCCCCCACACAAAGCAAACCCTGCAGCTTGTAACATAGCCCTCTTCCACCCTAGAAAAAGGCCTAAAAAGGGCCAGGAGGAGTTCATGCAGGGGACCTTCAGGAACAGCAGAAGGAAGAGCCTGGTGGCCAACCTGGTCTTGGGAAGGGGGATGATGGTAAGGAAGGAATGGGAGGGCGCCTGGGGCTTCCCTGCAGCAGCCAGGCCCAGACACCAGGCCTCCTCCTGGAAACTCTGTACAGAGAAGCAGGGCATCCCCAACATGTGACTGAAACAACAGCCCCCTCTTCACTCACCACCCCCAAGTGTTCTAACCCTGTTGTTTGTGAACAATGAAATGGTGATTTAATTCAGGCTTTTACCCTTTATACCCAATCTCCCTGCTGGAACCTTTCGTAACTTGGATTGCACACTCCCTAGCATAAGAAACCATGTCCCTCTTTGTTCCCTTAAGAGGAAAAGATGCAAAAGGGGGTGGCCTGATCCCAGGTCTGATACTGACAGATGACTCCGGTGCCTTTATCCCTGACCCCAGGAGCCCACTTTCACCAGGAACTGAACAGGTTTCAGCTTTCCCTGCTGCTTCCCTGCCCTGTGAGGCTGCTGCTGGGAGAAATGGCTAAAATATGAAGAATAGCGAGACCCAAGAAAACAAAAAGGGGCCTCCAGGTCTGCTTGTGTGTGTGTGTGTGTGTGTGTGTGTGTGTGTGTGTGTGTGTGTGAGAGAGAGAGAGAGAGAGAGAGAGAGAGAGAGAGAGAGAGAGAGAGACTCAGAGCCTCACACATGCTGGGCCCCTGCTCTGCCACTGAGCTCCACCCAGCCCTGAGGCCCACTCAGCAGCCCCTTGGCTGTAAGCTGGGCTCTCCTGTGGACCTGTGTTTACAGCACAATACAGTGGAAGAACCAAGGGTTCGAATCCTAGGTCAGCAACTTGAGGAAGGTACTTTACTTCTCTGCGCTTGACTGTCTCACCTGTAAAACAGAAATGATAATAAGCTATTTTTTGTAGTGTGGCTGGCGGGATCAGCAAAATGGAACCAAAATGCCAAACACTGTGTAGGGGTCAACACTGGAAAAACACACACACACACACACACACACACACACACACACACACACGGCTCCTCCAGCTTGGAGCTCTGGACCAGAAACAGAAGATTGGCAACGCAATTACAATAGAGTGTGATGACTGCCTACATAGAGAAACAACACAGTGCCTGGAAACGGAAGCCATTATTATTCAAACCCTGCCGCTCTGTCTGTAGCCAAACAGTATCTGAGATTCTGTTGTCTGTTGTTTTCATCCTGATTGCTGCTCCGTAAAAAAATTTTTTTTCTTGCCTCAGTTTTTGCCTTTCCATTCAAGCAATGCCAGGCAGAAGGGGAAGGATACACTGGAAAATGGTCTTCTTTTGCCCAAGGAATCAGTGGCTTCTGACTCTTGCGGTTTTTCTACGACAATGTTCTCAGGTAGAGAAGGGCAGACATTGGACTTTTTTTTTCGAGTTCTACTGTTCATCCAGACCTTCTGATCAAGAATAGTGCTTACCCCGGTGGATGCCTGCTGGATTTCTCAATGCCAGATTCCCTCTTGATTCTAGTGTCATAAGGCATACATTTACCTTTACAGCTGAATGAAACTTAATATTTTTAAGAATTTAGAGATAACTGGAGGAAATCTCCAAGAAATAACTGAAGAAAACCCTTGGTGTGACAAATTCCAGAGTTAGAAAAAAAATCAAATCTTGGGATATTTTCCGACTTTTAAGAAACCAGAAGAGGGGGAACGACTAAAGGGGTCCTTGGCACTCCTCTGTCTGCAGAAGCGCCTACCTGAAGAAGCCACTGAGGAGCAGCTCCACCTCCTGGCGCGTCCTCAGGTACCTTTCGTTGGCGATCCGGGTCTGGATCTGAGGGCAGGAGCAGAGGTCGCGTCCCATCGGCACGTCAGGCTCCGCCCGCGGGGGAAGGCGGGGAGCCGCGCCCAGGTCCAGGCCGCCCACCTGGGCACGGGCCTGACCTCCGCGCTGCCTCCGGCTCGGGCGAGGGGCCGCCGAGAGCCCCGAGTCAGGCTCCGCCTGCCGCCACGTCCCGCCCTAACCCGAGGCTGGACCTCGGACCACGGCGCGGCGCCACCCCAGCTTTCGCTCTCGCACTTGCAGACCTGGGCGGACTCGGTCCGGGACCCAGCAGCCCGGAGAGCCGCGGGCAGGGTGGGGGCGTCCCCGAGCCCTGCGCCCCTCCTCGGGGGGCAGCCCCGCTCTCCTCCCAGGGACCCTCCTCCCGGCCCGGGCGCCTGGCCTCGCCGGGGCGCGGGGGCGCGCTGCTCGCACCTTGAAGTTTCGCAGCTGCTCCAGCTGCGCGGGGCTCAGCGCGCCGGGGTCCGGCCCCAGCAGCCCGCCCTGCAGCGTCGCCATCTTCGGGCGGTCGTCAAGGCGACGGGTCGCGGCCGCGAGGCCCCGCCCCCGCACCGCCCCTCCGGGGGCGGGGCTGAGGGCAGCGCCGTGGGGTCCCCGCGGGCGCCGAGGAGCGAGCGTGGGAGGTGCCCCGGCTCCGGGGCGGGTTCTTGAACTTAGTTCCTGTGAACTGAGCCTTCCTCTGGCCCCAGCCGAGCGCCGCGCTGAGCTCTCGAGCAAAACAGGAATAAAGGTCCCTAGGGCAGGGTCCCCCGGAATCCGGTCCTGGCGGAGGCAGAAGCCGGAGGACGCCTGGTCACGGGGCGGGGAATCCACCGCCCCGAGGCCGACCTGCTGTCCGTCTCCAGACTCGGACGTTGAATCTCGCTTCTCCCCGCCCTCGTCCCTGTCCCCGTCCCTGCCCCTTGACATGGGCTTTCGAACCCAGGGCCCCTCGGCGTGGGTCACTCTACCACTCAAGTACCTCCCCAGCACCCAGACTTGCTCAGACTCGTGATCCTCCTGCCTCGGCCTCCCGAGCAGGGGGAATCACAGGCACCGCCTCCACGCTCTCTGCAGCCTGGGACTCCTAAAACAGGAGTGAGGGGCTCTGCAAAGGAAGGGACCTTCCCAGAGAAGGTGCTGGAAAGGACCGAGAGGGCACCCTGGCAGAATTTCCCCTCTTATATGTAGATCAATTTTCTCTTCACCCTGGGTTCCCCCAAAATCCCAAATTATTTCTCTCACTCCCTACGGGATAAGGGAGGAGAAGGGGAATGGGCCTTCTAGTATCTGATTAAGGAGGGTGAGGGAGCTGGAAAGGGCAGGAGCCTGTCAACACCCTGAGCTTCCCCACCCACGGGGCCTCGCGCAGCAGCAGCCTTCAGAGGCTGAGAGAAGCCGACAGGGACTGTGAGCCACTGCCCCAAGGAGCAGGGGAACAGCCCGGGAAACCAGCTCAGCATTAGATGGGCTCTCAGTGGTCTGCAAGGACTCGGAGAGGCCGTTCCCAGCCAGGGAAAGAGGTACGCTAGCTACTGGTCCTCTTCCCGGAGCCTCCTGTGGGTTAGTGATCACTTTGGCGGTTTGTCTGCTTTTTAGGAGAGAAGGTTAAGAGAGTGAGAGGGAGATAAGCTGCCATCTGTCAGAACAGTTACTTTTCCTGCTGGAGCAGAGGTTAAGCAGACTCGATGGGTCCTGTTGGCTAAGATCTGTTTCTCCACCTCACACTGCCCAGAAGAGCTAACGGTGAACCCTGCAGATCTGCACTAGCCAGTGTGGTCTCTGAGAACCACCCATGGCTCTGACACTTGAAATGTGGCTGTAGGTGTCAGATGTGCTGGAAATGTAAAGGACACTCTGGATCTTGAAGACTTAGTGTGAAAATAATGTAAAGTATTTTGCTAATAACTTTTTATTGATTACCTGTTGAAATAGAATTTGGATATAGCAGGTTAAAAAAATATAGACTATTGGGCCAGAGTTGTGGCTCAGTGGTAGAGCGCTTGCTAGCATGCATGAGCCACTGGGTTCCATCCTCAGCACCACATAAATAAATAAATAAATAAATAAATAAATAAATAAAATATATTTTAAAATTAAAAAATAAAGACAGGGTCTCGCTGAGTTCCTGAGGCTAACTTTGTACTAGTGATCCTCCTGTCTCAGCCTCCAGAGACACAGGGATTAAAGGTGTGCACCACCACACCCAGCATTCCTAGCCCTCTTTATGTATTTATTAAATATTTTTGAGTTGTAGATGGACACAGCTGCTTTATTTTATTTATTTATGTTTGTGTGGTGCTGAGGATCAAACTCAGTACCTCACGGGTGCTAGGCAAGCGCTCTACCACTGAGCCACAACCCCAGCCCCTCTTTTTATGTTTTATTTGATACAGGATCTCACTAAATTGCCAAGGCTGAAGTCGCTGGGATTACAGAAAGGCACCACCCTGCCTGGCACTTTATCCTTTCTTGACTGATGACTCCCTATTGTCCAGATGCCCGTATGTGAGAGAGGCTGCTTTTGCTTTCTTAACAGCATCTCTGTTCTCACTATTACACATTGTGTTTTTCTGTCTCACTTCCCCACTTGGGGTAGAAGCCACCTGAAGGCAGGAAGGTTCCGTAATCTGTCCTTTGTACTTTCATAATTCTGCTGCAGACGTTTTCATTGGGTTCAGTGAAGCAGTAAGTACTGGATGATCAGCTGCTCTGCCCACATAGGCCATCACATTTTACCTTTTCTAAAAAATATCCCCATTATCTGGCACTTCCTAAGAATCTAAAACCAGGAACAGGACTCTTCCTTTATAAAGTCAATAATCTTTTTATATAGGGCAGGTAGCTTTGACTGCAGAGGAATAAGAAAGAGGGATGGTAGGCAGAGAAAGTATCTTGGAAGAATTAGGGCGTGAGGCCTCATTTCCTCCTGGAGAAAAATTCCCCAGAATATGCCCCTGAGTCATAGGGTTCCACTCCCCCCCCAATCTTTACCTCAGGGGCTTCCATCCCCCTGTCCTGAAAGAACATCGGAGATGTGCCAGGAGGGTCTGATGAGAGCGCCCCTGCCTTCTAAATCCAGCTTCTTTTCTCAGACTGACACCTCCCATCTGGGGCCACAAATAAAGTGAAGGATCAGAGGCATTTTGTTGGCTGCCGCTGTCTCCCCAATTACTGACTGGGAGGAGGAGTGAGAGAAGTTCATTGAAATTCATTTTTGTGAATGTTTAATATTTCAATTAATATGATTAGGTCCAAGCCTGAATGAGCCTCAGGGCGGCAGATCCGCTGAGAAGACACAGAGTAAGGAGATGAGTGGGGCTGTGGGGTCTTCCCTTGTGCATCCTCGGAGGGCGTGATCTATTTAGCATCTCCATAAATACCAGATTAGAAGGCAGGAAAGCAGCAGGGGGGTGGGCAACTACTACCTGACTCAAAGCCACTTTGGAGATAGGATCTGAGGGAACCTGGCCCCTGAGTTCCTACTACTACTACTACTGCCCTCACCCCATCTCCATCTCAGGGTCCCCTACTGAGGGCCTGGGCATCCACAGGATGAAGTGTACACAAATCTTCACACACACACATCCCCTCAAATATACACACCTGTCAGAATGTAGCTTCAGGACACAAAAACCCAGGTTAAGGAAGGATGGCAGGTGGTCAGTATGGAATCAAGCAGTAGAAAGAAGGACTGTCTCACCCAGGGCTTAAATGAAGACAGAAGAGGAAGAAAAGTCAGGCTTAACCACTGGCCCCACTCCCAAGAGGAATGTTTGATGTGGGAGTTAAGTGCGCAGACTCCGGGGGCCAGACTGCCCAGGCTCCAATCTCGGCAAGACCTCTTTCTAGCTGCATGGCCTGAGGCAAGTTATTTAATCGCTCTGTACCTGGGATTCTTCATCTCTGCTTGGAGATAATGATAGAATCCACCTCGCAGGGCAGGGCGGTGGTGAGGTTTTAATGAGTTAGAAAGTAAAACACACTTGGAACAACGCCTGGGACAATGTAAGTGCCATATAAGTGCTGTTCCAGAAGAGGAGACTGTCAGCCTCTGGGATTGGGCTGGGACACACTTCAAAGACACAAGCACCACCGTGAAGACATCGGCCCCACCCTGGGGTGAGGAAGGGAATGACAGGGGAGGGCGGGTGTTCTACAAAAGCTGTGAGTCCTGGTAGGAGCGCCTCTGACGGCCACCACTGTCACTCAGTGGGCCCAGGGAACTCAGGTCCAGGTTCCCTCAGATCCTGGAGCACACCAATCATGCATACAATTGTTTTCAGGGAATAATGGCCCCCAGAGGTGCTTCCGCTCTCCTTTTGCTACCTGACTCAATTAGAGCGAGTCCCATCCGAGGACCTCACTTGAAGGAAGAAGCAAAGGAAGGAGTAATTTGGCTTTGCTTCCCTAACGGGGACTTGGCAGCTGTGTTTCTTCCCACCGAGAGAATCCGGAGTCCACTCTTGTCCGAGGTTCTGGGCATGAAGTGTTTGTTAAGCACCTACTACGCTTGAAAAAGACCCGGTGCTAGACACCGGGAACAGTGGAACCCTGGATTGAACGCTGTCTGGGTCTTGAAGGCGCGTCCAAGTGCGCCCTCGCGCTGCGCCTCGCTGCCCACACACTCACACACCCCGACCGGAGAGAGACCAGGGGGTGTCGGCAGAGGCCAGCCAGGACGGTGCTTCCTGGTTCCTTTTCTGGAGAACACACGATTCTCCTTCTGCCCTCATCTCACCTGCTCTTCCTCTTCCCACCTCCCTTTCCTTTTTCCTCCCCGGGTCCCTTCTGCTCGGTCCCCAGACTCTGCGACCTGTGTCCCTCCCTGTCCATGCCTCCCTCTCTCTCAACCCGCCCAACTGTTGTATCCGTGATTTCCTTCCCGTGGTTTCTTCCCTTGGATCTCCACTCTCAGGCTCCCCCAGTGCCGACTCCCTCTCCTCCCCGCCCCCAGCTCCCATCTCCTGGGTCTTCTTTCCAGCACCGGGGACAGCTCCAGCCCCCGGAACAATGGACCCCACCTTAGGGCTCCTCTATAAATTCTCCATCTTAGTGCCTGGCCCAACTCCTGGCTGGGGCTAAGAGGGGGGAAGGGTTGTTATCCACAGGACCAGCTGCTCTTCTGGGGGCGGGAAGGGAGTCCGGGAGGACCGAGACGGAAAGAGGGCGTGGCTCTCGCCCGGGTTGTGCGTCCCTCTCCAGGGTAGAGAATTTGCATTCTGCCCCTGAGACTGACATCACCGCTGCCGGGGGAGAGGGGGTGGGAGTGGGGAGGGGGTGTGGAGGGGGAGGTTTTTGTTGAGGAGAGCGCGGCCGGAGAGCAGAGCTCCGGGACCCAGGTGACCGGGAGAGCAGGCGGCCCGCGGCGGGAGCAGCCGGCAGCAGCCCAGGCCCGGGGCCGGGGTGGGGTGGGGGGGCGAGGGAGGACCTGAGGGGGCGGCAGGGCCACAGGGACCCCCGGAGCCCTGCCGCCGTCCGAGACCCAGCGTCTGGCATCTTTCGGACCCCGCAGAAGGACCGGCCACAGGGAGGTGTCCTCCCTGGGGAAGCCAGCGAGAGATCCACCTGCCCCCCATCAGGAGGGCCCCCTCTGACGCCTGGCAGCCCTGGCAGTCTCCGCCCAGCGCCCTGGCCAGGCCCGGGCCCCCACCTCCAGCTGCCTCCCGCGGCCCCCAGCCCTCCAAGTCCAGCACCCCTGCTGCGCCCCGGCCCTCGGGTCCTGGCCACACTGACCCCCATCCTGGGATCTCTGCCAGGTCTCCGGGAGGGAGACCGTGTGTTTGGGCTATGCCCCCTGGTGGCACGACAGTGTCTGCCTAGACCCCTGACCCCTAGCCCCGGCTCCCTGGGCCTCCTTTGTGTGAAGAGCTGCTCCTCTGCTCAGAGTGTTTGGGGGCCAAAGGGAAAGCCAGCCCAGGCGGGGCCCCCGGCCCCCACCATTTGCCTCCTGGTGGGGCAGCTCTCCCTGCTCCCCTCGGCCCCTCCTCGTGGGCCGCCCCAATGAAGGAGCCGGATGCCATCAAGCTGTTTGTGGGGCAGATCCCGAGGCATCTGGAGGAAAAGGACCTGAAACCCATCTTCGAGCAGTTTGGTCGGATCTTCGAGCTGACTGTCATCAAGGACAAGTACACCGGGCTGCACAAGGGTGAGGGGTCAGGCTAGGCTGGAGAGGTGGCAGTGGGTGGACCGGGAGGTTGGGATGAAGGGAGAGGCCAGGCTGGAGAAATGGAGTGACTGGGAAGGGCTGACCTGGAGGGAGAAGTGCTCAGGCTCAGGGGACTCCGGATGGAGGAGGTGGACGAGAACTCAGAGTGACCAGGGGACTGAGGATGGAGGACTCAGGGGTGCGCTTTTGGGTGAAGAGTTTTCAGGAGGCTGCAAAAACGTGGATCCCAGAGATGAAAGGAGGTGTTGATGCTGTGGGTGGACTCCAGGAAGAATGAAGGGACAGGAGAGCTGGTTTGGAAGCTGGAGGGGTGTGTGTGTGTGTGTGTGTGTGTGTGTGTGTGTGTGTGTGTGTGTCTTGGGCAGAACTGAGACTCTGAGTAGCCTCAGATAATGTTGGGACGTGGGTCAGGGCACAGAGTCAGGTGCCCAGCCTGTGGAAATGACCTGAGAAGTAGGGCAGGAAGGATAGATTGGTGAGGGTCTGAGTAGCACAGGGGACTTAGAAAGTTAAAAGGGAGGATGCCCCTGAGGTCTCTCCAAGGACTGTGTGGCTAAGCAGGGTTGACCCAGGGTCAGGGCTTGGAGAGCTCCAATCGCTGGGGAAAGGAGGGCCACACTCCCTCCCTCCCACCACTGGGCTCCGAGAAAAAGCACTTCCGGCTAACTGCTCTCTCCTCTCCTTCTCCGATCCACTCTCCACCCTGTACCTGCCTCCCCTGGCATCAGAGAGACAGGAGAAAGCAGGCAAAACAGGAGAGCAGAGGGGTGACCAAGATGGAGGGGAAGAAAAGGCAAGGGAGGAAGAGGAGGGAGAGTGGATGAGGAAGAGAGAACCAGGCTATGAGCTCTGTCTGGGCCATCTCCTAAGAGCCCAGCACCCTCCCTGGTCCACCTCACCAGCATGCAGAGCTCCAGGTCTCTGGCCCACTTCTGAGACCCAGCGTCCACCCCTCAGAGCTCCCCACCCCAGCGGGCAGGAGACAGGAGACGGCAAGATGGGAAAAGCCCCCCAGTCCCCTCTGTCTCCTGGGGGAGCCCGTCAGGGAGGGAGGCCAGGACTCACCCCACCCTGTCTCTCTGCCCCTGCCCCTCCTCAGGATGTGCCTTCCTGACATACTGTGCCCGCGATTCAGCCCTGAAGGCCCAGAGTGCCCTGCACGAACAGAAGACGCTTCCAGGGGTGAGTGCTGTCCTGTGCAGGGCCAGGAGGCCAGAAGGCCCTAGAGGTGGCAGGGGACTCCTCCCCGCTGTCATCACCAGGAAGTCCCTCTCTTCTCAGCATCCACCTTTCTGACTGCAGATGCATGCATTTTCCTCTTCTTACCTGGAGAGGAGGAACAAGAACCTTTAGTGGAGTAACCTGACCTTTCCTTTCTGAGGCGCAGATGCAGCCCCTCCCCCACTTCCCCACCTGCCCTCAGGACCCTGCTGGAGGGAAGACTTAGTGGGGAGTGTGGGGAGAAGACCCTGGACCAGGAGCCACGGGTGAGGTTGACAGAGGCACCCAAGCACTCTTTTGTGGCTCTGGAGAAGCAGCCTGGGGGGGCTGTGAGATGGGGGAGGGGTGCTGCCACCCTGGGACCAGGCAGCTGGGCCTGCTGGTTGGCATCCTCCTGCTGGTTTCTGAACTCAGCCATGCTCCCCTCGGGTCTCCAAGGAAGAGCCCTGGGAACAGGCACAGGCCTAGGCTCGAGCAAGGCCTGGACATGAGGATGAGGTAGCCCGGACAGGGCTTGCCACACCGCGGAGAAGCAGGCCTGCCCCTGCCCTGCCCAGTGCGCCCAGGGAGGCTGGGATGGCCCTGATGTGGTCCCCCCCCCCCCAGTAAGGTCACATCTCTTTGTTTCTTTTCTCAGTCGGCCTTGCAGACTGTCCCCAGCTTGGGTGACAACTGAGGTTAGGAATAAAGAATCTCAGGCTGCCCCCCACCCAACTCCTGAAACTGCAGGGAGAGGAGACCCCATTCCCTTTTGCTCTGTCTGCTTCTGTTTTCCCCAGACTGTGAATCCCAGGAAGTACTTCCTGAGATCTAACTCCACCCCTGCTCTCAGCAAACATTTGCTCAGCACAGTCTGGGTGCTGGAGACACATCTGGCCTCTATTCCTTCCCCACGTGGGAAGCAGAGAATGGTGCTGATCATCCATCTCTTCCTGGGAGGGAAACAGACAGAACAGATGGGGGCGGGGAGGACAGGATCCAAGAAAATCAGAACTGTTTGAACCTCTCCCAACCTCAAACCCTTCCAGGTCCTCCCTGGCCTCTGCCCTCAGCTGGGAAGGTAACCCCCCTGCCCCTCCCCCACCACCTTGTCCCACTCGGTAGCGGAGGACCGTGCCTGTGTGCCAGAGGCTCTGGGATCCAGGGCGAGCATGTGTTCACGCACGCACGCATGTGAGCACCCAGAAGGCCAGATGTGGGGGGGCACACATGAGCCTGGTCCCCACTGAGTCCCATCTTTCTTTCCCTCCCTTCTCTCTCTGGATGCCCCTAACAAATCAAGAGTTTTCACATCCATTGCCATTAGTCTTTCCCTGTTGTCTCCCGATTTCAGAGTCTCTGCAGAAACCAGAGGGGATCAGGGGAAGAGAGAGAGAGAGAGAGAGAGAGAGAGAGAGAGAGAGAGAGAGAGAGAAGGGAGACCAGAGTGGGGACTTGGAGACAGGCAGGGGTGGGTGTGAGTCCCAAGTGTGGGTCCTGCCACCGGGGGTATCTACCCTGTGTCCAGGACCCAGAGACAATGCCTACCCTTCTTAAGGCCCGAGGGAGGGGGAGGGAGAAGGCAGCCCAGGTTAATGATTGTCTAGCCCTTCTCCAAAGCTTCCAGGTGACACAGAGTTCCCACGTTGGCCCTTGCCCCAGGGGACAGAATCTAGAGAGATCTGACAGCTTCCAATAAGAAATGAGGGGTCCCACTCTCCCCCCGGGTGCCTCTTACCCGGGGCTTGGGGAGCAGACCCAAGGAGCTCAAGGCAGGCAGGTGTCTGCAAGCAAGTCCTCCCTGGCCCTTTTTACCCTCCTCGTTCTTTGCCTTTTCCCTTAGATAATGTGTGTGTGTGTGTGTGTGTGTGTGTGTGTGTGTGTGTGTGTGTGTACAGTGTGTCAGCTGCTGCATGATTCTGTTGGGAAGTTCTTCCTACTCTGTAATCTCCAAGCCCTCCTACTGCAGGTCCCCTTCTGCCCAGTACCGTGGATTGGCCCAGGGGTGCTCAACCACTAAGCTACAACCTCAGCCCTTTTTATTTTTTAGTTTGAGACAGGGTCTCACTAAGATGCTGAGGCTGGCCTTAAACTTGCAATCCTCCTACCTCAACCTTCCAAGTATCTGGTATTATAAGTATGCACCACCATGCCTGGTGAGGGTTCTTTTTTTAATAAGGGCATTTAACCCTCTTTCCTTGCTCCCCATCTTTTTTATCCCCAAATCTAGAAGGTGCTACCATATTAGAGTAGTGTTTGGGGCTGCATAAAGAAAGAATGGGGGTTGCATCTGTGACTATTAAGCCCCACTTCCTCTTCTCTCCACTAATAGCTCCCAGGGGTTGCTTTGCTACAGGTTCCTGAAGGGGTCCTGTGAGCCAAGTGGGGTCTCTTGGAGGATGCATCTGTTTGTCCTCTTCTTTTTCCTTCACTCTGTGAAATCCCACTCTGTGGACAGGGGAAGGTGGGCTCTGGCTCCACCTGTGAGTGATCCCAGGCACTGAGAAGAGTTGTGGAGTCAGGAGTGGAAGACCTGCACCCTGGAGACAATTAGACTTTGTGGGAACAATGAGCTCTTGAAAAGGGGGCTTTGCTCTTGGTGGGAAGGATGGGGACTTAAAAGCGATCCTGTCCGAGGCAGCTCAGCGATTCTTGGTTGGGGTAGAAGTTGCCCCTTCCTCTTTGGGAGGCCCTGGGGAGGGCTTATCACCTGGTGGGTGGTAGCTAGGAAAGAGGCGCCTGCCGGGTTGCCAGGTAAACAGGGCACAGCTGGACTCAGGGGAGGGGGCAGGTGTGCCAGAGCTGAGCTAACAAAGCCTGAGCTTCCCACAGGAAGTGCTGGGCCAGGAGGAAGGAGGCTGGAAGTGGGCACTGGGGGCCTGGAGGGAGTGGCTGTCTCCCTGGCCATGGTGCCCGCTGTGGCTGGGCACTGGAGTGTCTGAGAACCCACCTCAGCCGTGCTGTTTACTGTGAGCTATTTTCGTGCCTGCAAGTCTGTGCAGGGAGGGAACCACATCCTTTCTCTCTGGGTCCCAGGTTCCCGTCTCCAACCAGAACAGCAAATCCCCAAGAGCCTGTGGGGAAGGGGTTGGTGCCACGCATAAGAGTCCCCTGTGCTGAGCCCCTGGTGGGGCGAGCTGGTTCTGCCAAGGTGCCTGTGAGGAAATCTCCTGATTGTTTTGGCTGCAGTACAGGACCATGAAGCCCCTGGCTTCTGACCCCAGACCTACCCTGTGAGGAAATCTCCTGATTGTTTTGGCTGCAGTACAGGACCATGAAGCCCCTGGCTTCTGACCCCAGACCTACACACACACACACACACACACACACACACACACACACACACACACACACAGTCCTAAGGAGATTGAGCCCCAGATGGGATAATCCCAGATTGCTGGGAGATAAAGCTGGGGGCTGTTGGCTGGAGGATTTGTGGACTGTGACCTCCCTCCCCCACCAGCTGCTCTCAGATCCAGAGATCTGGGGGTGGGGCCTGGCCTGGCGCAGGAGTGCCCTTTGAGGTGGGTTTCGGGTTGGTCCGAGGCTGTGAATGCCTGACTTGCAGAGTGCCAGGCGTGACTTGGCACAAGGGTCCAGCATAAGGAGGTGCAGGGGCAGCTGTCATTTCTGCATTTGGGGTTGAGTGATGCCACACAGAGTCTCCAAACGCTGGGACCCCAGCGTGGAAGGGAACCTGACTGGAGACTACCTGGTCCGCCCCCTTGTTTTTCAGATGAGGAAGTTGAAGGGCAGAGCAGAGAGTGACTAACCCAAGGTCACACAACTAGTGGAAGGCTGGGCTGGTTGGTCCCATGCCCAGGTCTCCTAACTCACAGCCCCACCCCAGAATGCAAAGGAACAGTTTGTTTACTTTAAAAAATTTTTTTTTAGTTGTAGATGAGCACACAGCATCTTTATTTAGTTTCATGAGGTGCTGAGGATCGAACCCGGTGCCTTTACCACTGAGCCCAGCCCCGGCCCCGACTCTTACTTTTATTTATTCACAGGCACTGGAATAGGACTGCCCCACCATCAGGTGACTGAGGGGGACAGGTGTGGTCCCAGTGGTCAAAGTCCTCAGACATTGCAGCTGAGTCCTTCTCCATTTCCGGTTCCTACCAAGCTCCCCACCCTGCTAAGGAAACCAACCTGTGGGAGTCATTTCCAAGTCCTCTCACCAAACAAGACATGGAGAGTGAACTAGCGATTCCCCATCCCCACTGAAGACTGAACAAAGGGGACCCTGCAGGGTCAGGGAGAGGGGAGAGCTCTGGGGGACTTCTGAGCCAGGGAGAATTGCGAAGGAGCTGGGGACATCCTCTGTTCCTCCAGCGAGGTCTCTGCAGACAGCGGGATGTGCTCTGGAGGAGGGAGGCAGAGAAGGGGCAGTGTGGCCCCCAAGGGCTGGCTCTGCACACCTCCCTCCAGGACCAGGACGCTTTCCTGGCCCCTCCCCCACCTCCCAGCCCCCACCCAGTCCTCTACCCCAGCAAACCCTGTTCCCACCCCCCTCCCCACTCCTGCTCCGGGTGTGTGGAGCAGCCGAAGTGATGACGTCACCACGGTCGCCAGGGCGACGGGGACGGATAAATCAGGCTGAGTGGGCGGTTGCCATGGTGCGCATTCTCCCGTTGCCACGGAGACTGGGCATCTGCTCCCTTTGTGCTGCCCGAGTGCCTTCCCCCTGGGGTCAAGGGGTGTAGGGGGGCAGAAAGAGAAGCAGACACACCTCCGGGGGTCAGAAGGAAGTCTGGGCCTCTGTGGGGTCTCCCTCAGTCTAGAGTCCTTGGGGGCTTCTCCATGGGGTGGCCTGTGTTGCTCCGACTTTGTAGAAGGAAGGCAGTTCTTGAATAGTCCCTTGGCTGGGTTTTGTCTCAGGACCTGGGTCCTATGGGCAGGACCCCTTCTCCCCTAGGAAGAGTAGCACCTGTCCCTGGCCCAGGCACTGGGGCCAAGCTGAGCCCATGTGCCCATGAGCATCTTCCTCACATCCTCTCTCTCCTGCCTCTAATCCCCTCGGGTCCTAATCCTAGACAAGATTAGGCCCGGCCCTTGCTGCCCATCGGAAACTTAGGGGCTAGGGAAACTGCCTGGGCCTGGGGCTTGCTCTCCCAGCCTCTGCAGGCCAGCGGGAGGCTCCTGGGAGTTCTGGGAGGCCCTAGATCTGCCTTCTCTTCTCTCCTTCAGATGAACAGGCCGATCCAGGTCAAGCCCGCCGACAGCGAGAGCCGAGGAGGTAGGTCCGCACCCGAGACTCCATGCCTCTCTTCCCACCCCAGGCCCAGGGCTTGGGGAGGTGAGGGGCGGTCTTCCTCCAGGAAGAAATTCTGATCATTCTGAAGAGTTCCCAGGCCAGATGGAGAGGGGAGTCCGTGTGGTTGCAGGGGATGGAGATTGACCTCGGGAGAGATGGCCACGCGGAGGCTCAGTGGAGTGCAAGTCCTCCCGAGCCGCCAGCAGCCTACTCCCAGTCGGCACCCACTTCACACCCTGGCGTTGGTCCCCAGGGAGGGAAGTAGTGGCCGACTCCAGGGAAGAGAGGCGGGGAAGAGGCTGGGACCGTAGCTGGAGGCCTGAGCATGTCCTTCCTCCTGTGCCCTACCCCCCAGAAGACCGGAAGCTCTTTGTGGGGATGCTAGGGAAGCAGCAGACAGATGAGGACGTCCGGAAGATGTTCGAGCCCTTCGGGACCATAGATGAGTGCACTGTGCTCCGGGGGCCAGATGGCACCAGCAAAGGTAGTTACCGCTCTTCTTCCGGCCAGCCGGCCTCCCTGTCCCTCCCTGCTGGTGCCTTGTCAGTAGGTCTCCCGTGGCCTTGAGGTGGGGCTCAGGCCTCTCTTCTTTATCTCCACCTCTCTAGGCTGCGCCTTCGTGAAGTTCCAGACCCATGCTGAGGCCCAGGCCGCCATCAACACCCTCCACAGCAGCCGGACCCTGCCTGTGAGCCCAGCCCCCTCCCCAGCCTCCCCTCCCCAGGCCCTGGCACAGAGGGGCAGTCCACTCAGGATAGGATTCTTCACTCACTGGTGGTGCTGGGGACGGAACCCAGGGCCTCGTGACACGAGGCAGGCACTCTACCAACTGGGCTACGTCCCCAGCCCTCTTCAATTATCTGAAGGAATGTCTTGGCAGAAAAACAAACCCTTTAGGGCCGTATGTCAAAGAGCCTCTCCCCACCTCTCTTCTTCTATACCCACCTCACCCTCAGTCCCAGTCCCTCACCTCCTCTTCCGCCTCCGTTCCTCAGCCCTTCCGTCCTCCTACATGGCTTTCAGACCTGCCATATCCCCACCCACTTGCTGGGGTGCCAGACTCTTGCTTAGAAGCCCCGTGCATGTTGACACTGGTGTTGGTCACCTGAGTGCCTCTGGGAACCCCAGCAGAACAAACCTCTGAAGGACTCCGGAGCCCTGAGGGCTGGCAGTGGTCTCCAGCAGAGCTGGGCAGCCTTGAGCAGGGCTCGGAGGGGAGGAGACAGCATGGGATGGAGAACCCTGTTAGGTGACCCCAGGCCCCTGCCACTCTAGAGCCTAAGACTCTATGACAGTCCTTGCAAATGTCCCAGTGTGTGTTTAACTCAGCTCAGGCTGGTGTTAGAGCCTGAGGCTGCCTCCACTGAGCACACCATGAGGACCAGCTGTGGGGCAGCAGCCCTACAGGGAGGTGGGGGCAGCTCTGGGGCAGGAGTAGACCTCTGCTGTGGCTCTTCCACCAAGGGGAGGACTTCCAGGTGTGGATCCTCTGGAGGAGCGGTGACGCCCTTTCACGGTCCCTCACACTTTCTAGCCTTTTGCACATCCTGGCGCAGGGAGAGGGTAGAGCAGAATCTCCCCATTTGGCTTCTGATCCAAAGACACCAGTGCAGGAGGCGGGACGAGGCCAGGGGCTGGCCTCTGGGGAAGAGAGGTGCTGACTGTCTCTCTCTCTGACCTGCATGTGGGGCCGGTGCCCAGGGTGCCTCATCCAGCCTGGTGGTGAAGTTCGCTGACACCGAGAAGGAGCGAGGTCTGCGACGCATGCAGCAGGTGGCCACCCAGCTGGGCATGTTCAGCCCCATCGCCCTCCAGTTTGGAGCCTACAGCGCCTACACCCAGGCCGTAAGCACTGCCCTGGCTGAGCCTGACCCATCCCGTCTCTCCTGGCCGCCATGTCCTGCCCCATCTTCCCGACACATGGGGCCCAGCCCACCTTGTGTCCCTCTTTCCAGCTGATGCAGCAGCAGGCGGCCCTGGTAGCGGCCCACAGTGCCTACCTCAGCCCCATGGCCACCATGGCTGCCGTGCAGATGCAGCACATGGCCGCCATCAATGCCAACGGCCTCATCGCCACCCCCATCACCCCCTCCTCAGGTGAGGCCTGTGCAGGGCAGGGCGGGGCTGGGCATCATGGGGGCCAGGGCACTACGGCCTGGTGGGGCCCAGGGGGGCTCGTCGCTCCGCCGCCCTCAGACTCGCTGACTGGGCCTCCGCCTCTGTGTCCCCTTCTCCGCTGTCTCTCTGGCTCTCTCCTCCCAGGAACCAGCACCCCTCCTGCCATCGCTGCCACGCCCGTCTCTGCCATCCCTGCTGCCCTGGGCGTCAACGGCTACAGCCCGGTGCCCACCCAGCCCACTGGGCAGCCTGCCCCCGATGCTCTGTATCCCAACGGGGTTCACCCCTACCCAGGTGGGCCCTCCGCCTGTCACCCTGCCTGGTCCTCCTCCAAGCCACCTGTCCTGTCCTGGCAGTCACGCCACACCGCCCCTATCTAGCCCCAGGGTTCCAGGGCGGGTCAGGCTCCTCCACCCTGGGCAGGGGTACTCCCTATTTCTGACCAGGGAAGCTGGGGCTCAGAGCTGGGACCGCTTCTCCAGGGTAGCACGACAGCCAGACCCCAGTCCTTCCTGCCTTATGGCCCCGCACCCCGTGCCCAGCGGAGGCTCTCCTCCCCTGCCCGTCTCTGCTGCTTGGAGGTGGGGGCTCCTGCTGGGTGCCAGCCACTCAGGGTCCCTGCTCTCTGCAGCCCAGAGCCCTGCGGCCCCCGTGGACCCCCTGCAGCAGGCCTACGCAGGGATGCAGCACTACACAGGTGAGGCTCCTCGCACGGGCCCTGCCCAGGTGGGGGACCACAAGAGGAAGGAGGCCAGGTGTGGATCTGGGCTTCTCGGCTCTGCCAGTGCCTCCTTGCACTTTCCGGACAAGCCTTATCCACAGGATGGGTCTAGAGGGCCGAGGGGCTTTTCCTGACAGACCTTAGCTCTGGGGATCCCACTGGCCTGGGTGGGGGGAGGCAGATCTGTCCGTTAGCGCTCTCTGTCCCCCCAGCAGCCTACCCTCTGCTCTCTCTGTCCCCCCCCCCAGCAGCCTACCCTCTGCTCTCTCTGTCCCCCCCGCCAGCAGCCTACGGCTCTCTCTGTCCCCCTAGCAGCCTAACCTTAGC